AACCTGTATTACATCAAGATTCACCCCTAGATTATTTCACCTTAAGATTAACGTCCCTGATCTTAACCAAAACTAACCTAACCCAATATAATCTGATTCCACAGGTAGCACTAGGATATTTCATCACCATGTTAAATAAACTGGGGGTCTAATCTTCAGCTGATTCTATTTTTGAGTTCTGGATTGTAAGATTTTTTCTATACAGTATAGGTAATGCATATTAGAGTACTGTACAATATATGATTGAAAACAATGTACAGTGAGTTCTGCTATAACGCGTGTTTTGATAACGCGAATTTGCTCTAACACGATTTATGAATTAGGAACGATATTTGTATAACGCGAACGCTTGTTTGCTATAACGCGAACGCATGTTTGCTATAACGCGATTTTTGCTTACTATTTCTCCAATTTTGTGGTATTAATTGTGAATATGGTAAAGAAGAATATCTCCAAGAAGTGTTCTGGTGATAGAATTCCCGGTGATGATCGTAAAAGAAAGGATATAACACTTGAAAAGAAGCTCGATGTTATTAACCTCAAAATCACCCTTCTCCCCCATCAAGTTACATTCATATTTTTTCAAGGTAAAGTGTTACATTTACTGTATGATTTCATTATTAGATATGAATGTAACATTTATTTAGACTGTGCTAACCTTTGTGTTAGGCTAACTACTAAATTTTTTTCGATTTCGAGTAGTAATCTGCACCTAACCTATTTTCTCCATAAGCCCTGTTATTTCTATTAAGCGAATTTCTATAACACGATGTTTTACAAGAACACAACTATCGCGTTATAGCAGAACTACTATATTACAGGTTGACAATCCATATCCGAAATCCTTGGGGCCAGGCATTTATGTTTTCGGGTTTTTTTTTTTTTTTTTTTTAGACCACCGGGCACAAGTCACTGACCCACATTGGGCCTGGGCGAAAATATATAATAATTTTAATAATAATAATTAAATAGGTCTACGTTGTTTCTCACTTTTAATCTTTTTATTTCTTTCTTTATTATTATTATTATTATTATTATTATTATTATTATTATTATTATTATTATTATTATTATATTAATATAGTATTATTATATTAATATAGTATTATTATATTAATATAGTATTATTGTTATTATTATTATAAATTTTATTATACAGTATTTTATTATTATTATTGTTATCATTATTATTTATTTTGGTGTATTTTTTAATTAAAATTTTTATTTACTATGAATAATTATTATTATTATAAATATTATTATTATAATTATTATTACTATTATATTTGCCCCCAGGCCCGATGTGGGTCAGTGATCTATGCCTGGGTGGGCTAATCCCTGTAAAAAAAAAAAAAAATTCGGTTTTCAGAGCTTTTCGGAATTTCGGATAAAGGGTTGTCAACCTGTACTGTATCAGGCCAGTTTGAAATGGCAACAACCTATTTATGTACTTGACTCAATGTTATATGTCCATCTTTTCACACTTCCAGCAGACAGTTTTGTAAAGTATTGTATGTTCAATCAACCATAAATTTGGAGAAAATAAATATTTTAACCAGATTTCTTACTGTGCAGCACAGTACCTGTGCAGTACTTCTCTTTACATGCAGGTACAGAAAATCTTTACTATAAAAATTTACCGCCTGCAAATACACACAATGTGATTATACCATCACCTGCCTACTCTCTGTGTTGTTGGGGTAAATATACAGTACAGTATACTAGAGTTCAAGGGCAGATCCAGGGGGGTCCTAAGGGTCCAGCCCCCCTATTTTCCACAAAAAATTCAACTTTTCTTTTAATGCACTATTGTTGCTCAGGTTTTTATAGTAAAGAGTTTCACCATTGACTTCAGAATATCTCCTAATATCAAGTGCACATGGCTTCAAAGTGACCTTGATATTGGTCATTATTAAAAAAAATTGGGGGTGGGGGACTTACTGTGCCTCCCAACCCCCCCCAGCTGGGTGGCCTTGTGCTTGCCATGTTCCCCAAAACTTCTTGGCCCCCCCATTTGATATTCCTGGATCCACCCCTGGAGTTTGTATTATAATGAAGGAAGCTACACTGTTTGCCTCATCACTCACATTATTCTCACATTTCTAAATAAAACTTATCTTTTTTTACTGGACTTACAGGTGTGGATGCAATCTTGTAGAAACTTAACCTAACACTAACCTCACTACAAATGGTTTGTCAGATGTACCTGTAACCTAACGTAATCCTCATTACAAATCACTAATCAGATGACCTTGTAATAGCTTTAGTATGTGTTTCCAATAAGGAGTAGATTTTGGACAACATCAAATTTCACTAAATTTTTTAGATACTATTATTTTTGGTACAGTTTTTTTAAGATGGCAAACTTTCCAGGTGTGAAGCCGACCCAGACATTCTCCCAAGAACTCATAACTTTGGTGTTCATTATCAAGACTTTTACCAAATGTGTCAACAAGACTGCCCGGCACTGTTTTTGCAGATGGCTTTTCTGTGTTGTCAGGTAAGATAATGTAGCTAATGTGTAGCTTTGCCTGATTTGTAGGTCTGTAATGTTTATTGGTCTGCCCAGTGTACAGTGACCCCTCGTTTAATGAACACCTCCGGTTAACGAACTGCCTTCCATAAGGATCTTCAATTCGGTTAACGAACAAAAATTCGGTTAACGAATTTCTTACGAACCGACCTCAACATGTTTTCGCTTGCACTGACCGGGCAACCAGCTTTAGTATCAGTCCGCCAATACATTAATCGGTTCTAGGGCTTAAATTCCTGACTATTTTAGTAAATATCAAAGTTTATACTATTCAATACTTTTAAAGTTTAATAATCAATTTTTAGTCATTTTAACAATTATTGAACATAATTGAAGATAAAGTGACTAGTTTAATACGCGGCATCCAGCCTCTTAACACAGCAAACAGAAGTTAGTCTCTCTTTGTTTCACTGGGTAACATCTTGAGACTCTCATCAACTAAATGCTTTTTTTTCTGTGTTTCCAAGCAAATTATTGGTCATTTTGAAATATATTTTACATATTGACAATATATAATGCAGTGCAGTGTTGATTTAAAGAAAATAATCTTGAATTACACCGAGAGCTACTATTTTATGGGTGAAATGAGCCATCGGGTGACTTCTCTTCCACCCAATGCCTTCTCTTCTTCCTTCTCCTCCATCCCCATTCTAAATCCATCATCATCATCATCATATCCAGGAGCCTTCACACACACCTCAAAGTAAGTGAACTTTTCTACCAATTTTGTTAAATTTAGGAAATTTTCGGTGAGCTGGAACCAATACCCAAAAACCCATTGAAACAATGGTTTGAGTTATGAACTTTTCGGTTAATGCGACCTTCTGGAGCGGTTTGGTTACGTTAACGGAGGGCCCTATATATATATACAGTAATACACGCTTAACTGCGGTTTCAGCTTAGCGCGATTTCCGATGATCTGTGATTGCCTACAGGCCGAACTTTCATAGCAGAGTTTTTTCCACATATACGCGCAGAGTGTCCGGCTCGAGAGCTATTTTTAGATTCGCCCCACCCCCCACCCGCCACCCTGCCTGACTGCCTGCCTGCCTGTTTTAGCTCATAAAATTAATACAAATTACCCGGCCAGAATATAATTTACATTGCTGGAATTCTTACAATATGATGATCATTTTGAATATAAACATCATAGATTTTGCATTAGACATACAAATTTTAGATATAATGTTTACTCCGAGTAAATATGTTATTTTTTGTGCAAAATATATGACATTTGTATTCAAAATATTCCTGGTCTTACAAGGAATCCAGCAATGTCAATTATATTATCCTAACTTTAGTTTGAGGTATTATTTATTACTAAAAAGGTAAATATTCTGGTTTTCCCACACATCAGGTAGGGAGGGTTGGTGGGGGGGAGGGAGGGACCAACCGACCATCTGTTACCGTGTGAAGAATATTTTTTTTTTTTTATTAACTGAAGATATTTGTTTTAGCTCATAAAATTCATACAAATTACCCGGTCAGAATATAATTTACATTGCTGGAATTCTTATAATTTGATGATCATTTTGAATATAAACATTATAGATTTTGCATTAGACATACAAATTTTAGATGTAATGTTTACTCTGAGTAAATATGTTATCTTTTGTGCAAAATATATGACATTTATATTCAAAATATTCCTGGTTTTACAAGGAATCCAGCAATGTCAATTATATTATCCTAACTTTAATCTGAGGTATTATTTAATACTAAATGTTAAAATTTAGTTTTTTCACACATCTCTTGAAGGGAGGATTGGTGGGGAATTAGAGGAGGGTTAGGTTGACAGCGCTGAAATTTGCGGAAGAGGCAAGGTGGGAGTACTTTGATTGACAGATAGTGTCGTGAAGAATATTTTTTTTTTTGGTAACTGAAGATATTTGTTTTAGCTCATAAAAATTCATACAAATTACCCGGCAGGTATAATTTCCATTGCTGGAATTCTTACAATTTGGTGATCATTTTGAATATAAAACATATCATAGATTTTGCATTAGACAACTAAATTTTAGATATAATGTGTTTGGCTACTCTGAGTAAATATAGTATCTTTTGTGCAGAAATATATGAGTATTATTTATTAAATTTAGTGGTTTTCCCCCCAAGAAATTTCTCAGAGGGAAGAGCCAGCAGTGTAGTGTGAAAAGAGGGGGAGGGAGTTGAGTCCATTATTTGAATGGACATTAACTTGGCGACTGTATTTCTCTATTTCTCTTAAGTATTAATTGTGTGCATGTACCATCATAAAATTAAGATGTTATTTTTACTACAACATAGTTATGTGTCGTCAAAAAGTGGAGTTTGGGGGTCGGGCCAGTTTCTATTGGAATTAATCCCATATGTTCTGTTGTTCACTTAACGTGGTTTTCACTTAACAAATTGCCCTGTAGGTTTATTGACTAGATTAGCGAGATACTACTAATATATATACAGTATATATATATATATATATATATATATATATATATATATATATATATATATATATATATATATATATATATATATATATATATATATATATATATATATATATATATATATATACACAAAATATATATATATATATATATATATATATATATATATATATATATATATATATATATATATATATATATATATATATATATATATATATATATATATATATATATATATATATACACACACACAGGCCTCTCGGTTAATCTAACTCAACTGCTCTAAAAGGTCGCTTCAAGTTAATCAAACGCGTTCAAGAATCCTAAACCATTGTTTCAATGGGTTTTTGGGTAATTGGTTCCAGCTCACCGAAAATTTCCTAACTTCAACAAAAATGGCGGAAAAATTTACTTACTTTGAGGTGTGTATGTAGAAGGCTCCTGGATGATGGTGATGATGTGCATTTGAAGTGGGAGGTGCAGGAGGAGAAGGGAGAAGAGAAGGAAGTGGAGGTGGAGGAGAAGCATTTTACTGCTTCTTGGAAGGTGAGTCACCTTCCATGAAAATGTCAGGAACCTCTGGACTGACAGATTCTCCACCATGAACATCCTCTCTCTTTCTTGAAGTGGAAGGCTGAGGGCTAGCATCTTGTTCCCTCTGCCTTTTACTGAAGAAAGTGTCAATTGTGGTCTGTGGGGCATCTGTCCTCCTCACCATTAACTTATGTTTAAAGAAGGAGACCACTGAGTCCTCAACATGACACAAAGTTAGTTCAGTTTTTTCCACTTCTGGGTGCTTTGAAGCCAGTTCCCTGAACTTCTCCCAGTGGTAAATCACATCTTTCAACTGTTTAGCTGACATATGGTCATCACTCTCAATTTCCTCCTCACCACTGTCAGCCTCTACCCGTAACATCTCATCCAGTTCCTTCAAGTCATTAAGAGTAAGTTCCTCCTCATGAGACATCACAAGCTCTTCCACATCCTTCTCCTCCACTTCAAGACCCAATGACTGACCAATGGACACAATCTCCTGGTCCAACTCTGTGTCATCCTCAAATCCCTCAAAATCATGGACTACTGATGGCCACAGTGCTTTCCATGAAGAATTGAGGGTTCTATTGGAGACTTCTTGCCATGATGACACAATCAATTTTACAGCCTCCAGGACGTTGAATTGTGTCTTCCAGAACTGTTTCAGTGTTAGTTCAGGATCACTGGAAGTTGCCTGATGACACCTCCTAAACATTTTCTTCATGTACAACTTCTTGAAGTTGCTGATTACATTCTGGTCCATTGGCTGTATGAGTGATGTAGTGTTTGGAGGCAAAAACAACACTTTCACAAAGTCAAATTGATACTCCAAATTTCTGGCAAGGTCAGGGTCATGACCAGGAGCATTATCCATGAGGAGAAGAGCCTTTAAAGGAAGTTTATTGGTGGTTAGGTAGCTCTTGACAGAGGGGCAAAACACATCAACAGCCCATTCATTAAAGAACTGTCTTGTCACCCATGCCTTACGGTTGGACTTCCAATAAACTCCAAGCATTGTTCTTACCACTTTCTGTTGCTTGAACACCCTGGGGTTTTCAGAGTGGTAGACAAGCATAGGCTTCAGTCGGAAATCCCCTGAAGCATTGGCACCAAGCAATAGAGTGAGACGGTCTTTCATGGGTTTATGCCCAGGTAAAGAGGCTTCATCTTTGGTGATGAATGTTCTTTTGGGCATCTTTTTCCAGAACAGCCCAGTTTCGTCCACATTAAACACTTGCTGTGGAAGATAATTTTCTTCTTCCATCAGTTTTTTAAATTCAACTAAAAACTTTGCTGCCCCTTCTTTATCAGCACTAGCAGCTTCACCATGCCTAACAACACTTAAAATGTCACTTCTTTTCTTAAATTTTTCGAACCAGCCTTTGCTGGCCCGAAAATCTTCAAATTCTGTGCCTGAAGAACCAGGTTGATCTGCCTTTAAATGTTCGTAAGTCTCCCTGGCTCTTTCACAAATGAATTCAGTAGAAACTGAATCACCTTTCATCTGTTTTTCCCTAATCCAGATGATAAGTAACCTCTCAGTTTCTGCAATTAGGGATCTACTTTTAAACACTCTTGTAGATTTGTCTCTCACTTTCACTTCTTTAAATTTGTCTTTCTGTGCAAGAATTGTCGACACAGTTGATGTCGACATGCCATATTCTTTGCATAGCGCATTTGTTCTAATGCCTTGTTCGTGTTTTTTTATGATTTCCTGCTTGGTTTGGATTGAAATAGCTTTTCTTGATCTCTTAGGCCCCATGCTGGATTCAAACAATGTCAACACGTGCTTTTCAAAGTTAAACTCGTTGTAAATAAAGAATATTTTCTTTAAAATAACACTGCACTGCGCTATATGTTGTCAATATGTAAAATAAATTTCAAAATGACCAATAATTTGCTTGGAAACACAGAAAAAAAGCGTTTAGTTGAAGAGAGTCTCAAGCAAGATGTTACCTCCACTGAAAACAGAGAGACTGGCCGCCTGTTTGTATTATTTAA